ACATACATACATACATATATACATACATACATACATACATACATACAAACATACATACATACATACATACATACATACATACATACATACATAAATTATGTAGTGAATGGGTCTCGTTCCTGTATAATAAAAGACATGATGGTACAGTCGGTATCACGTGGGCTAAGGTGTTTGTTGTTGCAGTTGAGGTCGGTGCAAGAGGTGTTGTTGGTTGTTCGGTGTACAGCTTTTTGAAAGATTTAGGTTTGGCAGATAAAAGACGATCGAGTTGTATGAAGAACATAGGACCTACAGCCAAACAAGCGTCTTACTGGTTACGGTTATGTAGGAAGAAAAAGGAATACGAGTTTAAATTGTTAATAGACGAGGCCCTGTTTCTCGAAAGTGTCAGGAAGTTAAAGGGCCGAAACACTCATTGACGGAAACTTTTCCTCTGAAGACTCTCGCTGAACACTTGTTATGTTCGAGTTTCTACATACCTACAGACATATATTATGTAGTGAGAAACAGAGAGAGAGAGGGAAAAAATGAAATAACAAAAGAGAGAAAGTGAGGATGAACAGTGAGTGTAAGTGAAAACTTTTGAATTCGATGTTCTATATGCATGGATGTATGTAGGTACGTGTGTGTTTACGAGACAAAATCAGTTTCTCAATTTTCTATTTTTCATTAGTTTACAAATGATGAAACAAGATGAAACAAGAAATAATAAAATAGATTATAAATTATAATAAATAAAAGTTAAATAATAAAGGTACGTAATTATGTTTGCATGTGATTTACATAACTTTTTCTTTTTCTTAAGGTAATTTAATTTTGCTTTTGTTGAGTTGCTAATATTATCACTGTTATAATATTATAATTATCCTTCTTCTTCCTTATTATTCTTTTATTATTATTATATTATTATTATTATTTATTATTCTTATTATTAGTATTAAAAGTCATCTTGCATGCCTAATTTCAAAATTTAACGGTTCGCGATTTGGGCTTGCTTTTTAGAAAATTTACGTTCTCACTCAGTGTACTTTTAGTAATGAACACACACACACATACACTCAGACACACAACAAACACACACATACACACAACAAACACACACTTACACACACATACTCACATACACACACATACAGACACACACATGACACATTTTATCTACGCATACACAGTACACACGTACATACATTCATACTTGTTATAAAATCAATATGTAACAGCATTTTTTTCTAAAAGTTTTCCCATGAATGTTAATTCAAACTTTTTTGAATCAACATTTAGCAGAAAGAGAGAAAGAGAGAGAGAGAGAGAGAGAGAGAGAGAGAGAGAGAGATAGAGAGAAAGTTAAATCTTCTAAATGAAAATAGTTACACGTCTATATAAATGTTTATTACCTAACATGCTGTTGCTTTTATTAAATTTTTTTAATTAATGTTATAAATACAATATTATTCGGTGACCTTACATCAACATTATCATCATCATCTTCTTCTTTGTCAGTGACGTCATCAGCGTTATTATTACGTCATAGGAAGAAGAAACAATAATAGCAACAACGATTACAGTAAATTAACTTCAATAGTGCTGGAAGCTGAAATAACAGAGACGAGCCGGCAACAACACGAAGCAAGTCGGATCAAAATTACTCGATACCGATTCACTATCGGTAATATATACCGTATCGAGACTGAAATAAAAGAATTTCAAAATTGACGACATATTCGACAAAATCGACTCTTTATTTACGGATATGCGGAGATTGAAGATAGTGAAAGATGATCACACGTTCGACGAGCGTACGAGCAGGTACCCATGTCTGTATGTTTGTCTGTTTGCATGTGTGTGTATGTGCGTGTGTGTGCGCGCTTGTAGATATGTTTGTATGCTTGTATGTTTATTTGTTTCTTTCTTTGTATATTTTTACGTTTGCGTGCATGCATGTCTAATGACACAAACACATAAAACATACAAGATACAAGATACATACGCACACATACACATATAAGACAAACATACATACACATACAAGACAAACAAACACACATACAAGACATACATACACACATACAAAAAATACATACATACATACATACAAAACATACAAAACATACAAACACACATACAAAACATACATACACACATACAAAACATATATACAGACTGCTGAAAGACGTGCGCAGGCAAATGGACAGTGACCTCATGAACTTTGGGTTCGACAGACGCACAAACAAACAACTGCTTTCTTCGATTGGGGCGGCCCACGATACTGATGACGACGACGACGATGACGTCATGGGGAAGTTACTTGGGTTGGTCAGTTATTTAGGTCAAAAAAGGTCAAAAAATTTACCATTTATATAGCGCTTTAAATGTAGCTTCATAGGAGGCTTGGTTGATAAATGTATGTTTTTTTTCTTCGAGCCGATCACAACAACACAGGATTGAAAGATTTACTATCAAGGTCAAGTTTCATTGCATGCGTGTGTGTATGTATGTGTGTTGTGTGTGTGTATGTATGTTTGTGTGAGTGTGTATGTACACTATTTATAAACCACTACATCAACGCGCTTGTAGTTTTACAGTTCAGATTTTTTTGCGATAACAGTAAGTTGTTGAAGAGAGTGTTTTGGGAACAGAACACTTTTTGGTTTGATATTATTATAAATAATAATGATAATATAAATAATAATAATAATATAAATAATAAGAATATAAACAATAATAATAAATTTTTATCATCTCAAAGTTCTAAAAGCTTACTAAGCTCACGAAGGCTGACTGACGATGATGATTCATTCTTCCCTGGACGTTCCACGACAACTACTTCCAAATTTGGCTTTGGTAACAATGATAGAAGAGGCAACGCTAAGCCGTCGGCGGCAACTACTGCTACTACTACTGCTGCTGCTGCTGCGTTTGTGATGGTGTTGATGATGATGTTGTAGTTTTTGACAGGTGATGTTGAGGATGATGTTGAAGGTGAAAATGATGATGTTGTTGGTAGAAATAATGTTGATGATGTTTTCTTCTCCTTGTGAGATTGTTCATTCATTGCTGGCGTTAATGTTGTTTTATAATCCAAAAACTGTTTGCATTGGTCTGTGTGATGTTTTGATTGAAATCTAAATTGGAGCAGTAGCCGAGAGGGCAGCGAGCCATTCAGCGTCAGTTTCAACTTGTCCGGGTTCAACGCCGAGGACATCTCAGTTACGTGCGAAGATGGGGTTCTTTCAGTCAGCGCACGGCAAGAAGTAAATAATAATGGCGCGAAATCTGTTAAAGAGTTCAGTCGAAAGGTCAGTGTGTTTTTATTAAATATCTAGGTCAGTTCTTTTCAATCTAGGTCATGTCTTTATAGTTTAATTTCTTTAAACTTCAGGTCCAAATCCCTGACGACGTGAAACCAGAACAGCTGGAATCATCTTTCACCACAGACGGCATACTGATGGTAGAAGCTCCGCTAGATTCCACGCAGCAGCTGAGTAGCAGCTGTAGCAGAAGCCAGCAGCAAGCAGCTGACAAATCATGCTCCTTTTCTTCTTTTTCACCATCAATTCCTCTGGAAACTCCTGTCTTCACGGCCGAAGCAACTGGCAGGAAAAAGTTGGATCTGGTTCTTGAGGTTACGAAAAATTTAAATTTTTCTAGACATACACACACATATTCACACACAAACACACACGCGCACAAACAAACAAACATACGCAACCACAAACACACGCACACGCAAACACACACAAACATCTAGTTAGGACCACCCTACGAATCTGAGGATGTTGTTGTCAGACTTGATGGGCGGAAGTTGATCATTGGTTATAAAAAAACATTGTTTTTTTTGCATACTTTTGTTAATTCTTTAATTTTCACACAACAACAACAACCCAAATGGACGAACACACTCTTCCTCACTACTACAACCCCCTCCCTTCAACCATACAGAGGCCACACACGCCGTCAAAAAGTCCGGCGGCACATCAAAGACCTCCATGAATAGGGAGTTTGACCTTCAAGAGGACGTTGACCCCGCAAGTTTGGATGCCTCCTTAACGATGGGCAAGCTGTACGTGACTGGTTTGACCTCCAAGCAGGGCAAGTGCAAGGTCGTGACCTCTTGAAAGTGTGGGCCGAGGTCAATTGCGATGATTATTATGATTCTTATGAAGACGGAGATGAAGATGATGATGACGTCACGGTTGTGAGGAAGTTTGAATCGATGGTGATTGTGATTGTGATGAAAATAATGGCGATGATGATGACGATGATGATGACGATGATGATGACGATGACGATGATGATGATGATGATGACGACATTTCAAAATGGCGCTTTCATATTTCTTTGACAAATTCGATAAAAAAAATATATTCGAAATTTCAATTCATGTCGTTTGGTTTCGCTTTAGTTGGTCGTAATTGTTTGAAATTTACTTTCGAAAAATTTACTTTCACTTTCACTTTCAACTGAACTCGCCTTAAATCATTTAATCCAATCATTATATAATAATAATTAATTAATTAATTAAATTATTAAAATTAATAAAACAACAACATTTATCATCATATATATATGAGACATAACACATGTTTATCTGGATTTAAAACAATCTTATAAAAAATTAAATAAAAAATGTTATATATATATACATATATATATATATATATATATATATATATATATATAGGTTATATAATTGCATATATAATTGTGCATATGTCAATAAATATATATATATAAACCGCATATAAACGTTAAAATGTACGAGAAGATAATCATGATAATGATGTCATAATTGTTGTTTATGATGATGATGGCAATGGCGGTGGTGGTGATGGGGATAATGATGATGACGATGGTGATGATGATGACGATGATGACGATGGTGATGATGATGAAGAAGATGATGATAATGGTGGTGGTGATGATTGGGATAATGATGACGGTGATGATGACTATGGTGATGATAATGAAGAAGATGATGATGATCCAATAATACTCAATATTAAAACACAGATTTTTGTATTTATATAACACG